ACACCCATTACCAAAATGGCTTCTCCCCCCACACTCCTTTTGCTGTTATTACATTATATACACGTTATATATAAGTATCTACATTCGTGTTCACCATACCGAACCACTAAATTGGTATGCTGAGTGGCAGTGGCAGTGGCCACTAGCTGCCATTCCCTCCCTCACGTTACTTCACCTGACTGGCCACCATTCTCCTCCCACCATACTGTTTTTGCTTTTATATATAGACGTTATATATAAGTATCTGTATATTTTGTTTACCATAGCAAACAACTAAGCTGGTATAGTGAGTCCAGACAGTAAAAGGTGGTCACACTGAGTCAGCAGACAATGCTACCTTCCTTCCCACCAAGATTACTCCTCCCACTACAGAGCTAATTATCACAACAATCCTACTATTATCAGAATCCTGGTCATTTTTATCACAGTCAGGGGTCTTCTGTAATAATATCAATGCTAAATACAGTAATAGCAAGAACATGTATATTATGGCATTTTTAGGCGATGCTGTGGTCACAAGCTGAACAGCAGTGCTGTGAGCTCATGTTGCGTGCGTCAGGCTTGGTAGCTCACTCAATACTGAGGCCCTCACACCCGGGAATTTGGCCCACAATTTAAAAAAAAATGGCGTCTGTTTACAAGAGCCCTGATGAAGGTGTGGTGAACCCCGTGTATCCGCGGGGTGTTTAAATCTTGCATAGTACTCCAACACATCATATGATGTGGAGCGCAAGTTAATGCAAGTCACTGAACACATCATATGATTTGTTGCGCAGTTAAAGGATTAAATACATGGATGGAGAAATACTAAAGAAATTGTTCACAACTTTTGTTAGAAGACGGCTGGAATATGCAGCTGTTGTATGGTGCCCATATCTTAAGAAGTACATCAACAAACTGGAAAAGATGCAACGACATGCCACTAAGTGGCTCCCAGAACTGAAGGACAAGAGCTACGAGGAGAAGTTAGAGGCAGTTAATAGTTAAAAACTAGAAGATAGAAGAAAAAGAGGAGATATGATCACTACGTACAAAATAATAACAGGAATCGATAAAATCGATAGGGAAGAATTCCCGAGACCCAGAACTTCAAGAACAAGAGGTTATAGATTTAAACTAACGAAACAAAGCTACCGGAGGAATATAAGAAAATTCACTTTTGCAAACAGAGTGGTAGACGGTTGGAACAAGTTAAGTGAGAAGGTGGTGGAGGCCAAAACCATCAGTAGTTTCAAAGCATTATATGACAGTGCTGGGTAGACGGGACACCACGAGCGTAGCTCTCATCCTGTAACTACAATTAGGTAATTACACATCAGTCCGGTATAGCTCCTGGGAGCCGAAGGGTCTCGCCACAGAAAAATAATTTTCCTTACAGTACTTTCTTTTCTGGGAGAGCCTCTTGTGACTCCCTGAAGATATCTAGCCGAGATGGCTTTCAATTACTACGTAACATTAGCCGCAGAGTTATGTTTGGCCTAATGGGGACCAGAGCCCAGAACCTGGGCCGGATTCAGGAAGGTACTTACGAAGGTTTTTCCTCTTAGCTAAGAACGTTTTTCTTCTTAGCGCCTTCGTGGCGGCTATGTCCGTATTCAAGTAGCTACACTAAGTGGAAAAATCTTCATAAGTTCATTCTGGGATTTAAGTGTGGTTTCGACCACTCGTAGCTTTACATAAACTGGATATAAAGTCATTTTTTCTCTACTACATAACACTGGGATCGATTTATGATATTGGAACATGACCAAAATATTATAGCTGGTGAATCTAGTGAAGAGGAGTCCTTCGTGTTATATATGCATTCTCTGCTTGAAACTTGAAGTAAATATGTGTTTGATGATAGTAGAATTAGTTTTATAATAGCAAGATATTATACCAGTAGTTATTAAGTAAATAAACACTGGTGAACATGAAATATGAGAGAAGGTGATGAGCCCTGCCTGATGGGATCATTTACTATCACCAAATGCCCCTGTTCACCTAGTAGTAAGCGTGTACCTTAGCTATACATACCCATTTCTATTTTATTTAGTTTGGTTTTATTTTGAAATTAAATCTGGGCGAGACATAAAATAAAAATATGCTGCACAAATGATGTTAGGTAAGGAGAAGGGTAAAAATGTCAAAAACTTTATTCATTGAATACTTAAAGCTATAATTATGACTATATAGATTATTAAAAAAGAAAGAGGGAAATAGGGGTCCAAGACCTCTTCCTGTTATACAATTTGGGTGTGGAACAAGTAATTATCAAAAGAAGGCACCATGCCGGGAAGGCTATGTAGCAGTAAGGCAGTGAGGTGAGGCAGCTACTTATTTGAGAAATGCTTATTTTATTTACCTTATAAGCTGAGGCAACTTATTTTATTTGAGGAATACTCAGCTGATTCCTCTACATTTAGCATGGAACAAATTTGTGTCCAAGACCTCTTCCTGTTACTCAATTTGGCTGTGTGTAACCAAACTAGAAGTGCTCTACAAATCAAGGGACCCAGAATGTGGAATGACCTCCCGAATCATGTTAAAGGCTGTACCTCTCTTAACCAGTTTAAGAGTTAAACCAAGTACTGCCTAATTAACTCCATGCAACCTAACTTACCTCCTAAATGTCAACCCATGTCTTGCTATTTTTTAAACAACGCTGTTCACCAACATGTGCAATTGCTGATTTATGCTATGTTAACCCCCCTTTTTGTATTTTTTATTCCTTTCAACACAATTTATACCTAATCCCGATTACTATTAAGTTTTAGTCTGTGTTTTTTCCCCCACACCTTGCCCGAAATGCTATGAGTATTAGTGGCTTTAGGTATTGTATGTACTAGCTCTGTCTATAAATCCAACATTATGTTTGTAAATCAACTGTATGTACTTTTCCTGAATAAAATGTATTTATTATTTATTTTTTAATCAGTAAGTATTAAAAGAAGGCACCAAGCTGGGAAGGCTATGTAGACCAGACCACACACTAGAAGTTGAAGGCACGACGACGTTTCGGTCCGTCCTGGACCATTCTCAAGTCGATTGTCTATGCTATGTAGCACCATTGTGTGTAACAATAAACCAAATTTTTTTTTAACAAATAATGCACCTGTATGGTAAAACAAATCCTGTCAGCTGTAAAAATATTGATGCAGTTATTTAAATTAAAAATATAATGAAAGAAATATTACTGGTTTATTTTTATCCTATCTTTTTGTACTGTACAGTATATCCAAGGAAGTGAAAAATTAAGACATAATGCACAATTTAATGAATGATTAGCATGGATTAGCAGTTCAAAAGAAATATGACTATTACATATCTACATGAGATCTTAATGATCCATGGTAAAAATGATTTAATAAGGATAATACAGTACTGAATTTGTAATAATACAAACTATAATTTTAAATCTTTATTACTGATTTTTTTTATTAAGATTAGGTATACACAGCAATGTACTACTGTACTACCCTATTCTATATGGAATATTACACAGTCTAGATAAAAAACTAGCTATAAGTTTATCTAATACTCCCATCTCACAGGATGGTTAGACATACTGTACATGGAATCAATTTAGAAAATACCAGCCTCAATACAAAAAACAAATCAACTCTGACTAAACAACTCTAAGCAATTTTCACAAGAGGTAAGCACTGAATCATGGAAACATTATATTATAATTACTCTTACCAGTTTCTACAAGACTCCTCTCAAACAATGTATTTTTAAACATGTTTAGGTATACACAGCAATGTGCTGCTTCCCTATTCTGTATAAAGGACCACACAGTGTAGATCAAAAACCAGCTACAAGCTCATCCAACATCCTCACCTCACAGGATGGCCAGTCATACATGGAATCAGGAGAGAACAAAATACTTAATGCTGATCTATTAGCCTCCACTGGCAAAATCTGGGTGCAGCACAAGAATATCTTCCAATATTCCTGAGTGTATGAAGTAATTACAGAGCTCAAAATACCTCATACCATTTGGTATGAAGTCACTGATAACAGGACAATCACAGATATAGTGTTGGAGAGTATGTTCTCTCAAGTAGGACTGAAAACATGTTTTTTTCCACCAAGAGGGCTATAGACCCATGGAACCGCCTACCCGCTGAAGCCGTAAATGCCAAATTCCAGCTAAAAAATATCATTAAGACAATTGGTGGGCAATTTTAACAAGCCGCCGGCTTTCTGTCCTCTTTGAGGCCACTAGATAGTTAGTGGCCCTTGGGTAAATTCAGTAAATACTGTATATACAAAAATTGTCAGCGCATCTTCCGAGCAACAGGGACAGCTACACAGTATCTCTTAGAATTACGTAGGTAAACAACAAATGTAACATATTTGTTTACTACAATGTTGGTGCTGGCTGTAGAAGTTGAAAAAACATTGTTTTACTTCGAAATATACTAATTTTATAAGAAAATTCGACGTAAATAGGAGGCAGTAGAGCTCCGATAAGCCAGCACTAAATCTTCAATATGAAGAATGTTGCTGCTCTCTGATTGGCCAAACGAAACACAGTAGTGACCTCTATCGGCACGCAGGTGAACCAACAATTTTCTTCCTAAGTGGACGTTATTGAATTGCACCCAAGCATCTTCTTAGGGCACACTTAGGAACCTTCGTAGCAAACCCACTTACGAAGAAATACACAGAGCTTCCTGAATCTAGGTCCTGGTCCCTCACAGAGAGACAGAGAGCAGTGACACTCTGCCACCCCACCAGGAGATCATCCAGAAAGTCAGCAAATCAATACAGACAACTGCTAGGTTCAAAGGGATCAAAGCCTCTACCAAATGAGCTCCCCCAACAAAAAGGAGGCCTGGTCGAGGTCCAGGCTGTGGGGACGCTAAGCCCTCAAATCATCTCATGAATACAATGTATACAAATGATCAAATTGCATGAAGATAACTGCAGTGAACTACAACATCAACAAATGAAAATGTGAGCATTTCTGAGAGATATCTAAACATTTAAAAAAAAATTAAAATGTAATTTACCTGTTCTGCAACAGCACGAAAAAGACAGGATCCATCACGTGCAACTTGTTTACGATATAAGCCCTGTGATTCAAGCCATTCATCAAATGGATCAAATGCTCTACTGTTCAAACGACGACGCATTCTGAAAATCAAGTAATAATGCTTCAATAATTTCATCACACACAATTTGACAAATTTAATTACTGTATGTATATGGATCACTTATCTGTAGGTAAAACATAGCTACATGGACCATCCACAATGGGCTAAAACAGACCATTCATACGTAATGAAAATACAAAAATACAAACAACCCATGAGCAAACATAAAATCAGCGTTGAATGTAATGAAACGCCATTTTCATATTTTATATTATATATATAAATATATAAATTTGTGAGGGTACCACCTCTGGTGCCAATGTGGGGACCCATAGCCTCGGAGAAGAAAATAAAAAGTATTCAGAGGAGACCTTGTGGTTTCTCACTGAACACTAATATTATCTATGGAACTTCAAGCACTCCTGGATGAATTCAAAGATGTGACCCAACCCACCAGCCCTCGACCTGAAGTGCAACATAAGATTACGCATCACATTATTACAACGGGAACACCTACCTTTGCCAGACCACGCCGCCTGGCACCGGAACGATTGGCGGTAGCACGTATGTACTGAGTTAAACAAGCTACAGGAGGCAGGAATAATCCGCCCTTCGAACAGACCATGGTCTTCACCTCTCCATATGGTCCCGAAAACAGCCCCAGGGGAATGGCGCCCTTGCGGGGACTACAGGGCTCTCAACGTTCGTACTCTGCCGGATCGCTACCCAATACCACACATCCAGGATTTCTCACAGGGATTGAGCAACGCAACAGTTTTTTCGAAAATTGACCTTGTGCGGGCATTTCACCAGATCCCTGTAGAACCAGCAGACATTCCAAAAACAGCGATCACAACACCTTTTGGACTGTTTGAATTTGTCCGGATGCCTTTTGGTCTACGGAATGCAGCCCAGACATCCAACGCTTCATCGACCAAGTAGTTAAGGACCTTCCTTTTTGCTACGTCTACATTGACAATCTGCTGGTGGCCAGTACATCACCGACAGAACATCTGCTACACCTCCGACTCCTCACCTGTCTGTGCAACTTCGGCTTGCAGCTCAACTCCGAGAAGTGTATTTTCCATGTTCCAGAGCTGGAAAACGTTCTCAGTATTTCACTCCCTAGCACACCCAAGAGTATGTGCTTCCCAGAAACTACTAACGGAGCGTGTCGTATGGCCAGTAATCAATACCGATGTTCGACGATGGACTCGCTCATGTTTCCAGTGCCAGCGAGCAAAAACACACACACACACAAAGAGCCCGTTTCAACAGTTCACGTTACCTTCTGACTGTTTCGAGGTGGTGCATGTAGACATCGTTGGACCGTTATTGTCGGCAAGTGGATATTCTTATCTATTCACCTGCATCGATCGATTCTCCAGATGGCCGGAAGCAATCCCATTAATCAACATCTCAGCTGAGTCAGTGGTCCAGGCTTTCCTCTCTGGATGGGTCGCCCATTTTGGCAGCCCCTCTGTCCTCATCACCGACCAAGGACGACAGTTCAAATCATATCTATGGAAGGAACTTATGGAATTCCTCGGCACCACACACAACCGAACCACGGCATACCACCCTGAGTCGAACGGAATGGTAGAACGCTTTCATAGACAACTAAAAGCCGCCCTAAGAGCTCAAGCACGCCCTGATAATTGGATCGACAACCTTCCATTAGTCTTGCTTGGCATTCGTTCGGCCACAGAGGGCAGTGGATTCTCGGTAGCAGACTTAGTATACGGATCTAGCCTGCGGCTTCCGGGCGAATTCTTAACCCCGACGCCGCTCATCACACCCCCAGACCCCACTTTTGTCCAGAAATTATGGGTGGCCATGACAAACATTCGGCCTACACCACCACGCCAACCGACAACTTGTGCTACATATGTGCCTCATGAGCGCCACACAACTGAACACGTGTTTGTAAGAGTCGACACTGTTCGACGCCCTCTACAGTCACCTTACGAAGGACCATTTAATTAAAGTGGTTTCTCGAACACCGAAGTTCTTCACCATTGAACGCCGAGGACAGCGAGTAAACATCTCCATCGATCGCCTTAAACCAGCACACTGTGACGCTGCCCCAGACATCCCTCCAGAGACACATCAGTCGACTACGCCATTCACATCTCAACCACAGTTACCAGCAGCACCGCCACCTACGACAACAGACGACCCTTTACGACCTCCCACCCTACAACCCCAGTTACCAGCTGCACCACCATCTGATCCTACAACGACGGACGATCCTGTGCGACCTCCCACTCTACGACCCCAGTTAGATGACATCAGCGAAGAGGAGGAAGTTAACTTTGAGGGTTATACAACGCGAGCAGGGCGTACAATTTACCGAGCAGCTAGGTTCCTTGATCAAGTGTTTTTCCTTTCATCCCCTGGGAGGGGGAGTTCTGTAGCGAGTAGATTATCCCAATAATATACTCGCTCCAAACGCATTAGCCTAATGAGAGAAGCAAAGCTCTTCTTGGTACTAATTATGAACTCCTGTCAACCTTTGGAGAATGGTGAGGTGTTGCCCAAGCATAAAAACAGCAGAGTGGCGAATAATAACTAGTCTACTTTCAAGTGTGGTCTAGAACAGACACTTGCGAGATACTGTACCGACGCTCAGTGTGCTCAACTCACACCAAAGTATCACCTGCGTACTTCTGTATATTCGACCAAAAATATATATACAGTATATATTATCTTAGTGTTTGTGTTTAATGTCACCATATTTTACGTAACAATAGAACCATTACATTCTTGTAGGGAATTCTATTGCAAACACAATGGTACCAAAATGAAAGACCTAGGGCGAGAATTGGGATGTCCAAAGTGAAGAGAGTGTACACATTTTATTGCTCTTGCGCGCTCCCGGGTAATATGCTCTTACTTTCTCACTTTCTCGCTGGGCTTTTGGGTTTAATATGCATTTAGTCTTGTAGAGAATTCTATTGCAAACACATTGATACCAAATTGAAAAACCTAGGACGATAATTGAGATAACAAAGTGGAAAAGAGTACTACTGTATACACTTTTCAGTATTACCCAAATGATACCAAAATGAAAGACCTTGGATGAGAATTGAGGTGACCAAAATGAAAAGTGTACACAATTTATCGCTCTTGAGCACTCCCAGGTAACATGCTCTCACTTTCTCTGTTTGTTGCAGATGGTACGCCGGGCTTTTGGACTTTATATGCCTTTAGTCCTGTAGAGAATTCTATTGCGAACACAATGATACCAAATTGAAACACCTTGGACAAGAATTGAGGTGACAAAGTTGAAAAGAGTATACACTTTTCAGAATTACCGGGTGCTCCCGTGAAACGCTGAAACCCACCTGGGGTAGTGTGGGGCTCGTGCGCCCAGAGTGCTGCGTAAGTATTAAACAACCGTGAACCTTTGATGTTTTTACAGTTCTCTCTAATAGTGCCAATGGCACCCCTGCTCTTCACTGGTTCTATTCTGAATTTTCTTCCATATCGTTCACTCCAATAAGGTATTTTACTGTGCAGATTTGGGACCTGGCCCTCCAGTATTTTCCACATGTATATTATTTGATATCTCTCCCGTCATTTTTCTAGTGAGTACATTTGGAGAGCTTTGAGACGATCCCAATAATTTAGATGCTTTATCTCGTTTATGTGTTCCGTATATGTTCTCTGTACTCCCTCTATTTCAGCAATCTCTCCTGCTTTGAATGGGAAAGCAAGTACTGAGCAGTACTCAAGACGTGACAGAACAAGTGATTTGAAGAGTACAACCATTGTGATGGGATCCCTGGATTTGAAAGTTCTTGTAATACATCCTATCGTTTTTCTGGCTGCCACAATATTTACTTGGTAATGTTCCCTAAATGTTAGGTCGTCAGACATCATTATTCCCAAATCCTTTAAATTTTGCCGTCCTGCTATGGGGTAAATTTGATTGCGTTTTGTACCCTGTATTATGTTTAAGGTTCTCATTTTAACATTTATCGAATGCCTTTGTGAAATCGGTGTATACCACATCTGCATTCTGTTTTTCTTCTAATGCCTCAGTGATTTTGTTGTAATGATCAAGTAGCTGTGAGAGGCATGATCTTCCTGCTCTAAGTCCATGAAGGCCTGGATTGTGGAGGTCACTGGTTTCCATGAAACTAGTGACCTGACTCCTGATCACTCTCTCAAATACTTTTATTATGTGGGACATAAGTGCAACTGGTCTATAAATCTTTGCCAATGACTTGCTCCTCCTTTATGTAGAGGGACTATGTCTGCTGCTTTAAGCACATCTGGTATCTCCCCGTGTCCAAGCTCTTCCTCCAGACCTTACCGAGTGTCTGTGCTACTGGCACTTTACATTTCTTTATAAATATTGAATTCCATGAGTCTGGACCCGGGGCTGAGTGCATGGGCATATTGTCAATTTCTCTTTCAATATGTCACGCTCATGTTGATATCAGTTACAGTATATTTACAGGGGTTTGGATAACACGCATAAAGAAGTTGTCCGGATCATCCACTTTCGTGCTGTTTATCAAAGTGCTAAACATGTCCTCATACTGCTTTTTTAGGATTTCACTAATTTCTTTGTCATCCTCAGTGTATGAACCTTCACTAGTACGAATAGGTCCAATACTGGCAGCGGTTTTTGCTTTTGATTTAGCACATGTGAAGAAATATTTTGGGTTTTTCTTTATTTCTTGAATTGCTTTTTGTTCTAGTTGCCTTTCTTCAATCTGATGTGAATGCTTCAATCTCTGTTCAATTTCTTCAATCTCCCTGTTTAAATTATTCCTTCTTTGTATGGAAAGTCATGTCTGCTTAAGCATTTCCATTAATTTTCTTCTTCTTTTGTAGTGTCGTCTGCGTTCTCTTTCTATGTTGGACCTCTTTCTGGCTTTCCTCAATGGAATATGTTTCAGACAGACTTCATAGGCTTCAGAAGTCAGTTTTTCTATTCCTTGTGTAGGATTTTTATTACTTAGAACATTTTTCCATTGAATGTTTGTATGTTGCCTGTTTATTTTCTCCCAATCTATCCTTTTATTATTAAAATTGAATTTATTGAATAACCCTTCTCACTTGTTGTTTCTCTTGGGCCTACTACCATTATTAATGTTAGTTTGAACTTCAATGAGCTTGTGGTCCGAGTACGTAGTGTCTGGGACGGTAATGTCTCTGATTAGCTCACCATTGTTTGTGAATATGAGGTCCAGCGTGTTCTCGTTCCTAGTCGGCTCTGTTATTGGCTGACTGAGCGAGAATTTGTCACAGAATCTCAGTAGTTCTCTGACCTGTGATTGGTTATTTCCAGGTTAATTTCCTGCAATAATGTTATTATTTACTATTCTCCATTGTAAACTGAGTAGATTGAAGTCTCCAAGGAAGATAATATCTAGTACTGGGTTTGCGAGGTAGTCCAGGATATTCTCTATTTTGTGGATCTGTTCAGCGAATTCCTCAACTGTTGCATCTTGCAGTTTGTATATTAAAATAATAAGTAGATTAATATTTTTTACCTTGATTCCAAGTACCTCTACCACTTCATAAGACGATTTCAGGAGCTCAGTGCATGCCAGCTCCTCTTTAATATGCAGACCTACTCCTCCACTTGACCTAATTACTTTGTCACATCTATATAGATTATAATTTGGGATCCACATTTCACTATCCATGTGTTCTTTTGTGTGGGTTTCTGTAAATGCGCCAAATATTGCGTTCGATTCTATTAGAAGGCCATTTATGAACTTAACTTTATTTCTTGATTTTGATTTTAGACCTTGTATGTTTGCAAATATGAATGATTTCCCATATTGCTGTCACTTCTGGTGGGCTTTGGTAGTTCTCCCCCCTCTCCACCCATGTCCAGGGGCTTTCCAATCGTACCATATACAAATCTATTTTGCCTTACCTCCTTTTTTCATTTGTATCTTTCATGATCAGCTTTATGTCTGGACTCAAGTAGTGAAACAAACCTATTTTTTGACTATCCATATCACATGCATAATTACTCAACAGAAGCAGGTCATGAGCACCAACACTACACAAGAGCAGGTCATGACCACCAACACTACACAGGAGCATGTCATGAGCACCAACACTACGCAGGAGCTTGTCACATGCACCAACACTACACAGGAGCATGTCACGAGCACCAACACTACACATAAGCATGTCACGAGTACCAACACTACACATAAGCATGTCACGAGTACCAATGCTACACAGGAGCATGTCACAAGCAACACCACCACACACGAGCATGTCACATGAACCAACACTACACATGAGCATGTCATGAGCACCAACACTACACAGGAACATGTCATGAACACCAACACTACACACGAGCATCAACACTACACAGGAGCATGACACGAGCACCAACACTACACACGAGCATCTCACGAGCACCAACACTACACACGAGCATCTCACGAGCACCAACACTACACATGAGCATCTCACGAGCATCAACACTACACAGGAGCATGACACGAGCACCAACACTACACACGAGCATCTCACGAGCACCAACACTACACACGAGCATCAACACTACACAGGAGCATGACACGAGCACCAACACTACATACGAGCATCAACACTACACAGGAGCATGACACGAGCACCAACACTACACAGGAGCATGTCACGAGCACCAACACTACACAGGAGCATCTCACGAGCACCAACACTACACAGGGGCATGTCACGAGCACCAACACTACACAGGAGCATGTCACGTGCACCAACACTACACAGGAGCATGTCACGTGCACCAACACTACACAGGGGCATGTCACGTGCACCAACACTACACAGGAGCATGTCACGTGCACCAACACTACACAGGAGCATGTCACGTGCACCAACACTACACAGGAGCATGTCACGTGCACCAACACTACACAGGAGCATGTCACGTGCACCAACACTACACAGGAGCATGTCACGTGCACCAACACTACACAGGAGCATGTCACGTGCACCAACACTACACAGGAGCATGTCACGTGCACCAACACTACACAGGAGCATGTCACGTGCACCAACACTACACAGGAGCATGTCACGTGCACCAACACTACACAGGAGCATGTCACGAGCACCAACACTACACAGGAGCATGTCACGAGCACCAACACTACACAGGAGCATCTCACGAGCACCAACACTACACAGGAGCATGTCACGTTCACCAACACTACACAGGAGCATGTCACGTGCACCAACACTACACAGGAGCATGTCACGTGCACCAACACTACACAGGAGCATGTCACGAGCACCAACACTACACAGGAGCATGTCACGAGCACCAACACTACACAGGAGCATGTCACGAGCACCAACACTACACAGGAACATGTCACGAGCACCAACACTACACAGGAACATGTCACGAGCACCAACACTACACAGGAACATGTCACGAGCACCAACACTACACAGGAACATGTCACGAGCACCAACACTACACAGGAACATGTCACGAGCACCAACACTACACAGGAACATGTCACGAGCACCAACACTACACAGGAACATGTCACGAGCACCAACACTACACAGGAACATGTCACGAGCACCAACACTACACAGGAACATGTCACGAGCACCAACACTACACAGGAACATGTCACGAGCACCAACACTACACAGGAACATGTCACGAGCACCAACACTACACAGGAGCATGTCAAGTGCACCAACACTACACAAGAACAACTCACGTGCACCAACACTACACAGGAGCAGGCCACGAGCACCAACACTACACAGGAGCAGGCCACGAGCACCAACACTGCACAGGAGCAGGAGGGGCACCTGTGCAACATGAGTGTTGGCGTGTGGTACAACCCTGCAAGCATCTGGTGGCTCAACCAAACAGCCTACAGGTACAATTTAGTGCTAAGACGAGCGTCAGATGAGCGAGTGTGCGTGTGAGGTACAAACTTGAGCATGGCGGGTCCTCAGGTGGGTGTGGTGGGAGCAAGATGAGGGAGTCGGTGGCTGGTGTCACAGACTGCACGCGCTGCCATGCCTCACACGGCACCCTTCGTACACAACCACCACCTCCAACACTAACACACTCCTCACCCCCAATACAACCCATCATATGCCATTATAATATTTCGAACATATTGTAATATGCGTGTGTGTGTGCAACTGTTACAATGATGAAATATAGTTTGATGGGGGGAGGATAAGCATATGTGCAGGAAACGAGCAGTGGGCGAAATATGTATACTAAATAACAGAACTGTTCGGAAAATGATTGGTGTCATTCCCAAGTCTCGTCTCACTTTTCCCTGTTAATTCACCAATATTGTTTAATAAATGTTTAAACCGTATATTAATGTCGAGGATGGGTTGGTTGAGGTGGCGGTTGGTCGATATGTTGTGAAGACAGGAGGAACCTGTGGCCAAGGCCACCAGCCGGACACTGCCACCACAACAACCATCACAATATCTTCAAGGGGGGGTTACCGTCTTCAAGGGGCTCCTGGCGCAACCTTGCCCAAGAGTGTACATCTAGTCACCTGCTCCGCCTGGGGGCCGCCGGCTAACAGAACGCACTTGAGAAACTTCATTCGTTGGATCACAATACTGCCGTCTGGCATTTCTCTTCAACAGTCCGCTTTTTGACGCCTGGGGTCACAGGGTAGTTGATAGTGTAGCGAGTAATCCTTATACTCGCTCCATTATCTTAATGGCGTAACTAATAAATACTATGTTAATTAGCACTAACTACACAAGCTATAATCCTATCCCTAATTACAGGTACCAGTTCTCACATCGTATCCTAGTACAGAAAGGTGAGGGGTAGTCACCAAATATAAGGAAGCGATATGAGAATAAACAACACCACTTACGAGCTATTCATGCCCGTGCCACCTTTTGGGTGGCTTCATCTTCATCTTAACACATTCACAAGGGAGACATCTCCCGTCACGCAGGGTGCATTCGCACCTCCACAGATCTTCAGTATCAGCTCTTGATACTGGTAATGGCTTAAAAGGGCCACCACTTACGGGCTATTCATGCCCGTGCCACCTTTTGGGTGACTTAATCTTCATCAATCAATCAATCTGTAGAAACCGAGACATCTCCCGTCACGCAGGGTGCAGTCGCACCTCCACAGATCTCCAGTATCATCTATTGATACTGGTGATGGCTCAAAAGGGCCACCACTTGCGAGGTATTCATGCCCGTGCCACCTTTTCGGTGGCTTCATCTTCATCTTAACACATTCACAAGGGAGACATCTCTCGTCATGCAGGGTGCATTCGCACCTCCACAGATCTCCAGTATTAGCTCTTGATACTGGTAATGGCTTAAAAGGGCCACCACTTACGGGCTATTCATGCCCGTGCCACCTTTTGGATGGCTTAATCTTCATCAATCAATCAATCAATAGACAACACCATTTGGTCCGGGAGACATCTCCCGTCACGCAGGGTGCAGTTGCGCCTCCACAGATCTCCAGTATCATCTTCTGATACTGGTAATGGCTCAAAAGGGCCACCACTTACGGGCTATTCATGCCCGTGCCACCTCTTGGGTGGCTTAATCTTCATCAATCAATCGAATAGACAAGACGGGAGGCATCTCCCATCACGCAGGGTGCAGTCGCACCTCCAAAGATCTCCAGTATCATCTATTGATACTGGTGATGGCTCAAAAGGGCCACCAATTACGGGCTATTCATGCCCGTGCCACCTTTTGGATGGCTTAATCTTCATCAGTCGAATAGACAACAGTACAATTTCCAGTCAAGAATGTGGCACTCGACGTAGGCAGTTCTAATTGTCTCCAAGACATAAGAACATAAGAACAAAGGTAACTGCAGAAGGCCTATTGGCCCATACGAGGCAGCTCCTATTCTATAACCACCCAATCCCACTCATATACTTGTCCAACCCGCGCTTGAAACAATCGAGGGACCCCACCTCCACCACGTTACGCGGCAATTGGTTCCACAAATCTACAACCCTGTTACTGAACCAGTATTTACCCAAGTCTTTCCTAAATCTAAACTTATCCAATTTATACCCATTGTTTCGTGTTCTGTCCTGTGTTGATACTTTTAATACCCTATTAATATCCCCCTTGTTATGTCCATTCACCCACTTGTAAACCTCTATCATGTCGCCCCTAACTCTTCGCCTTTCCAGTGAATGCAACTTAAGCTTTGTTAATCTTTCTTCATATGAAAGATTTCTAATTTGGGGAATTAACTTAGTCATCCTACGCTGGACACGTTCAAGTGAATTTATATCCATTCTATAATATGGCGACCAAAACTGAACTGCATAATCTAAATGGGGCCTAACTAGAGCAAGATATAGCTGAAGAACCACACCAGGTGTCTTGTTACTAACGCTGCGATTAATAAATCCAAGTGTCCGATTTGCCTACGCTATTTGCCTACGATTTGCCTATTTGAAGACGCTACAACTTCGACACAGAACAGGCAGCAGACTAGGACCGCATCGAGCTACAACGCTCTCGGAGCTCCACGACTCCGGCCACACTCATCTCTCTGCTCTGCTCCAAGCTCCGTCTCAACGTCTACGACACTGCTGTATCCAAGACTACTAAATAAATATGAAACTCACTAAACACTGTGTATCTAATCTACCCAACAACGTAACATAATCGTACGTTACAATAGATTTTCGGGTTTTCTCATTGATGCAGTGCAGTCGTACTTAGTGTGATTACTCTGTGTATTAAAAGAGGAGCGTCAGAGGTAGAACAAGTCCTAGTTGTCAGAGTGCATGGAGGGATTGTGGGAAAACCCTGTTCCAACTTCAGGAGAAGCGTCAGAAAATCCTTGTGGGTTCAGTAAGAACTCTAGGTTGCAATCCTTATACCATGTCGTGGTCTATTAATAGTCGCTAGAACGTGTGCGTGGGAACCACCCTAGGTTCGAACCCTCATCACTGCTCCCATAGATTTTCTCAATAATAATAATTTTATTCACACGAAGGTACAATGGGTTGGTGAGATTTTATAAGATTGGTATGTTTACATTCTTGTAAAGCCCCTAACACGTATAGCGTTTGGGGCAGATACTTAATCTAAATTATCGGGTAAGATGAAAAGGTACAGTGTAGCAAAAAAATGATGGATTTTGCTTCCCCGGGATGCAAAACGTCTGCGGGATGAGTTGCGCGCTTTTGCTGATGCAACACCTCTCTCCAGCCCTCGTGTCAGTATTTTGTTTCCGATCTTCCATAACTCTCCATGGCTGCTGCTGTCACTTTCGCGGTAGAAAATGGATTCAGATGCCAAGGCATCTCCATTATCCCTGACCTAGTGCAGAGAGAACGCTTCTTTCAACTGCGCCAGTGCTACCGCTGCGACAAGTTCGACCACTTTACTCAGAAATGTCAGCAGACCACCGACAGATGCAGCTTATGCGGAAGGAGCACAACTACAAGACCTGCTCGAAGAGTACACGACAATGCCTAGCTAGCTCAACTGTGGGGAAGCCCACACCGCAATCTCGCATGAATGCCGAGTTAGATAAGCTGAAATGAAAAAGATGGCAGACACCAGACCCACCCCTACACGCCAAGCCAGGACATTTAATATACAGTCAACGGAGTTCCGCGGGCACTGCCAGGCATAGCTAACGCCACGTTACAACCTGCCTCTCCCTGGGGTAAACCCCAGAACTGTACAGGCCTCTATCCAACAGGCGCCTAAACTACTGCAGACTCTACCGCCGGCCACTAAGACAAGCATTGATTGATGAAGATTAAGCCACCCAAAAGGTGGCATGGGCATAAATAGCCCGTAAGTGGTGGCCCTTTTGAGCCATTACCAGTATCAAGAGCTGATACTGGAGATCTGTGGAGGTGCGGCTGCACCCTGCGTGACGGGAGATATCTCCCGTTCAATGTGTCCAATTGATTGACGTTTGATGAAGATGAAGTCACCCAAAAGGTGGCACGGGATCGAATAGCCCGTAAATGTTGGCCCCTTCGAGCCATTACCAGTATCAATAGATGATACTGGAGATCTGTGGAGGTGCGGTTGCACCCTGCGTGACGGGAGATGTCTCCCGTAGTTAGTATTTGAACAAGCATTCTACCTGCTCTCAATATATATCCGACTAACCGAGAGGATCGCTGGCACTGACAACCACAGATTTGTAGTTACACTCACTATATACGCGACTAGATGCCAATTAACGGCCTCCCGAACATAGTGGTTCCTGACACACTCCTCGCGGCAAAACACGCCGCAATTATCACTACCAATAAGGCGACTTCGAAGGCAGCCACCCAGACTTGGGTAACCAGTATTTACCCAAGTCTTTCCTAAATCTAAACTTATCCTATTTATACCCATTGTTTCGTGTTCTGTCTTGTATTGATACTTTTAATATCCTATTAATATCCCCTTTGTTATGTCCATTCATCCACTTGTAAACCTCTATCATGTCACCCCCTAACTCTTCACCTTTCCAGTGAATGCAATTTAAGCTTTGTTAATCTTTCTTCATATGAAAGATTTCTGATTTGGGGAAATAACTTAGTCATCCTACGCTGGACACGTTCAAGTGAATTTATATCCATTCTATAGTACGGCGACCAAAACTGAACTGCATAATCTAAATGGGGCCTAACCAGAGCAATATATAGCTGAAGAACAACACCAAGTGTCTCAATTGTTACTAACGCTTCGATTAATAAATCCCAGTGTCCTATTTGCCGTATTACGAACATGCATTGATCCTTTGGTTTTAAATTCTTACTAATCATAGCTCCCAGATACCTTTCGCAATCCAACTTCGCAATCTCAACACCATCTAGCTCGTATCTTGTAACTCTATCGGAACTCTAATTTGTGGAACCAATTACTGCGTAACGTGGTGGAGGTGGGGTCTCTCGATTGTTTCAAACGTGGGTTGGACATGTATATGAGTGGGATTGGGTGGTTATAAATAGGAGCTGCCTCGTATGGGCCAATAGGCTTTCTGCAGTTACCTTTGTCCTTATGTTCTTATGTTCTTCTGAAGCCGAGGGCTCCGTGCTTGGATACAATAATTCAAGTGGGCGCGGCCCAGAGATATGACCGCTGCATTGTGTAGGAATGCGGAGGAATTTCTGATGGAGGAGAAAGACAGTTGCACAGCGCGTTCCGCGGCGCAGCGCGCGGAGCGCCGTGGGGGCCTATATAAAGAAGAGAGGAGAGGTCATGCGTTCACGGGAGACATCTCCCGTCACGCTGGGTGC